TCCAGTCTGGGTGACAGCAGTGAGACTCCAACTCAAAAAAAAAAAAAGGAGAAATGATCTACTTATGGTCACAAAGCTTGTATGAGAGAAAGCTGGGATTTGAACCCACGAAGTTGCCTACACCGTGTCCCTAAATATTCCACTATGCAGTGCCTGGCTCATCTCCACTGGCCCATGTGTTTGGTGAGTGGGCTGCCTTTGGGCCTGGAGCCGGGCGCTGCATCCCTCACCTCAGGCTGTCAGAGAAGGCCTCCAGGCCAAACTTGGAGACACAGTAGCCGCCACCATTGGCTGCCAGGCGACCTAGGACGCTGGTGATGTTGATCACCCTGCCCCGGGCTTGTTGCAGCAGAGGCAGCAGGGCGAGGGTGACCCCGATGGGACCCATGGTGTTCACACTCAGCACCCGCTGGAAGTCATCCTGTGTCAGCCATGGTGTGGGCCCGATGACACCAGCCACACCAGCGTTATTCACCAGACCAAAAAGCCCTGTGGGGAGAGGAGGCGCTGGGGCAGCAGAGGCACTCCCACGCCCCGCTTCCTGAAAGCTACTCTCCAACTAGTCCCCCTAACCTCCCACCACCCTGGCAAGGGAGCCCGAGGCCGCTGTGGGGACCAGGAACACCTCGCACCATGTTCCCACAGCCCCACCACACTCACCTGCTTCCCCAACGTGTGTCTCCACCCACTTGGCTGCCTTCTGGACACTCTGGGGGTCGGTGACATCCAGCAGGGTGGTGTGGAGTCTGGAGGAAGCCACCCGCTGCAGGTCTTCCGCCCCCGAGGACGTCAGGCAGCTGGCCAGGACTCGGAAGCCCCTCTGGTCCAGCTGCAGGGCTAGCAGGCGCCCGAAGCCCGAGTCACAGCCGGTGATGAAGATGAAGGCATCGCTGGCGGGCAGGCGCTGCCGGTCCCTGAGCAGCCACAGAGCTGCCCCCAGTAAGGCGCCCAGCAGCAGAGGCAGCCACATAGCTGGAGCCCACGTGGCCTGCAGGGGGCAGTCTAGGCTGGGCGGGAAAACCCGTCCAGTTTACTCAGCTCTGAAGCCCTTACCCTTAAGATCCTTCCAGTTGTCTTTTTTAAAAAATCCAATCTTTCTCTTTTTTTTTTTCATTGAGGAAGTCTTTTACTTTCCCTACTCACTGAAAACTATTGACTTCGTGGTACACATTCTAAAGCATTTCTGATTTGAATATTTTTGTACATTTCGATCGATTATGAAACCTCTTCTAGTGGAAAAAAGAAAAAAAAGATCCTCCCTGGCTGGAAGTGTCTGGTTTGAGCAGATTGGGAAATAATCTGCTTGGCAGATAATTGGCAAACCATGGCTCACTTACACAAAGCAAGATGTGGGCAGATTCTGTTTGTGGCTACCTGAGCCAAAATCAGATGAGCCGGGTCCTGGGTATGGACATGCTGTGTGGGAGCGGAGGTGCCTTCTTCTTGCCATACCGTCTCTGCTGCGACCAGGGGCACCTGAACCCTCGAGATGTAACCTTGGACTTGCTTTTGGAACCAGGTACAGGGCCAAGAGCTCTGTATTTTGGTTCTGGTGGCCATGCGCTTGCTATGTGATGCTGAGTACCTCACTACATCTCTGAACCTGTTTCTTCATCTAACGAATGGGCTGACACCGACCTTGGAGTTGCGGTGTCGATGTGTGAGGAAGCACATCAAAAGCTTAAAGCCTGGAGTCGTCAGTCGTGTAGTCCGGCTGGGCTTCTCCCAGCACCCCAGCTCCCAGCATCCCACTTACCTCCTTGGGGAAGATCGGCAGGACTGCAACCCGGAAGCTTCTCCTTTTGATTTTGTTTGAGAAACTTTGCTCCCGGTCTTGCCAGCCTCCCACACCAGTTACAGCTAAGGCCGAAGTCCGCAGTGGGTGGACGTGGGTGCCAGGAGTATTAAGTGTATGTGTGATGGGTGGGGGGAGGGCCAGGGAGGAGGAGCCAGGGAGGCTGGAGCCTGCTGGCTGAAGCTGGGGCTTGGCAGAGGCCAGATCTGCCCAGGCCCCTCCTTGGCTGTCTTTCTCAGCCTGAGTTCCTGACCACCCATGCCATGGCCTCCTGGAGGAGGAAGCTGTCAAGGACGGCAGCTGTCCCTCTCTGTTGGTGGCCTTGGACCTGTCATTCCTCCCCCTTCTCAGCCCTGAAGTGCCCCCAGGAATTAATCTCCCACCTGGCTCAGACTCATGACACCGCTTAGCGTCAGCCTGGGAGAGGCCACAAGCACGTGGAGAGGCAGAGAGCCAGCGCTGTGGACCAGGCCTGCTCCCCGCCTTACCTCTCCTCTGCAAGAACTGAAGTCCTGAATTAGGAAGCTTGGGGCAGGGGCCACCCGGACCCTCTGCCTACCCAACGCACCTGCGTTAGGCCCACTGGGGAGAAGAGTTGGGACAGTAAAGCTACCTGTCCCTCAGGGGAACTGCCTTTGAACCTTCCACTCCCACCCCCCACACCACAGCTAGTAGTGCCTTCAAACACACCACAGAGAAATGGAGGCTGTGTTTTATTCATGGCCTGCCAGCCTCCTTCCTGCGCCTGTGGGTGAGGTAGGAAGGCTGTGGTGGAGGGGGAGGGAACAGGCTAGGAGGAGGCAGACTGCAGCTGCCCTTTGTAGACATATTCCAGCGCGGTGGCAATAGTGCGCATGTCCAGCTCGATGCTCCGAGCCCAGTTCTCCACATCCCCGATCTCCTGGGAAGGGGGAGAGGAGGGGAAGCCCAGGAATCAGGGTGGGCAGAGCGAGGCTGTGTCTTCCAGCCTGGGGAACTTTTCATCTATCTCCTGGAAAGGGCTTTACTTGGACCCACCGACCGCTTTTCTTTCTTTCTCTGGCTTGACACGGGCTGTAGATGGGGTTTCAGGGACCATCCCACTTCCCTCAACTCCAGGCCTGAGGTGACCCGACCAGAGGCAGCCAATGGGGCCCAGGACGGGAGGGGGATGCAGGGAGTGTGGCCCACCTTGAGCGCCTGGTTGAAGTTCTCCACCATTCCAATCCACTGGCCCGTCTGCTTGGCAAATTGGGCAGCCTGGACCTGCAGGGTCTTCACCTCGTGGTCCAACTTTCTCTGGTTCATGTATGCCTGGGCCACGCCCACATTGAGGTGGTCCACCAAAGCTTCTGTCAGGCAGGTCACCGCA